ATGCCCCAGGGCCGGAACACACTTGTCGCTGTAGTCTGGTCCTCCGGGGCCCAAAAGATCAGCTGGCCAGGTGCAGAGCCACAGCTGTGGCTATCGGGGGGCCTGTGACCGGGAGGAGCTGCAAGTCCAGCTGCATGCCAGTGGGGCAGAAAGCTTGGAGAGGAGCGTGTGTTCGGGGAACCTGTGCAGGCCCAGTCCTCCCCTCATTTCTCCATCACCACGTCTATCTGTCCACTACTCTTTCCTCTCTAGGGCCGCCGGAAGGGGCTTTGCCTGCACGGCTCCCCCCATCTAGGCGATGCAGAGCTGGGGACTACCCACATCCTGTTGCTCTGTTCTTTCAGGGTCTCGCCCCATGGTTTGGCTTCAATTTTATGGAACGAGGGCAAAACTTTGGTCCTGCCCTTCCTTCTCCTGCACCTCCAGGGGGGGGACACCCCTGCCCTTCTGTGTTTGGGCATTGCGCTCGGCCATGCCATCCCCAACAGGCCATGCGTGCTATGAAGGACACCCCAGAAATGAAGGGGACGCCAGCAGGAGCGGCCACCGTAGGAGCCGCTGGCAGGGTGCGTGCAGAGGGGCTGGGGAGAACGGGGACAGCCCCGTGCTGCAAATGCTGGTTCCCTGCTAGCTTTTCGGGCGGCTTGGTTGAGCAACTGGAAATCAGGGCCTGTCGCTGGCTCCAGTCCCCGACGGGCTCTGAACACGGGCCACGTGGGCAGGCGGGCGACAGCTTGCTTCTGGGCTGCAGCACAGGCACCAAATGTGGGACAGGCGGCCTGGGGCTTTGCCTCGCTAGCCTCCGCGCTTGTGCAGCAAGAAGTCTGCCTGGCTGCTCACGCAGCATCCCACGCGGAGGGACGGGGTGGGATCTCAGAGCGCTACTTTAACGGAGACTGCAGCCTTGTGTTACACGTGACAACACACGAGGGAGCACATATGCCTCACATCAGCACAGCGCGGTTGCAAGTGCTATTTAAATGTGCCGTCAGCATCCATTAGCAAAGAGGGCCGAGGGCTTGGCAAGACAGGCAGCTTCATGACAAGTGCTGTCTGCTGCCTCTCCTGCCCTCTAGGATAAGGGGCCGGGCCGGTTGGAGGGCTACGATGTTGAGCTTTCGCCTCCTGACAGAGCACTTCATCACTACCTTCCCGGCGACTGCTCTGCCTGGCAGACCCTCGAAAGACAGTCAGCTGCTACGTCGGATTTGCCGCCCCCAGGAAATTCCCCTGTCTAGCGTAGCCAAAGTAATGCAGGAAAAAGCCTTTCCAGGAAGACTGCCATCGCGAAGTGCTCCTGCCTTATTGCTCCTGTCCTCACGGAGCAGCCCCTTGCACGCATGTCGCGCAGAAAGAGCCCAGCGCCGGGCGCAAGCTGCGGACAGGCTCTGAGGATACAAGTCCTGTCCTTCCCTGCTGCCAGCAGACGTGATTTCATCAAACCCATGAGGGGCTCGGCTGCTCCCCCCTTCCAGTGACCTCCCTCCAGGGGCACAGACAACTCTCTCAAAGCCCGGGTGCTAATTAGACCCAAATGAGGATGGGCATGTCGTTGCCTCATTCACTGCTTCATTAAGCTTTTTTAACCAAACTAAGTACAAACAGCATGCAGAAAGGGAGGCTTTGGGGCCAGACAGAGGCACTGAGACACACAACTCATTAATTCTAATGTGAATCTTGTGCCTAAGTCCCCTAGCTAGCTTTAGAAACCTCAGCTAAAATCTCTGCCATTTGGGGCTATTTTCCCCCTGAGTTGGCAGTTGCTATTTTTATTTGCACCGACATGAATGCGGCCCACAGGGACGCCTCGATCCCGTTTGGCAAGCCAGTTAGTTATCTGAACAGCTAATTGAAGGAGCCTTAGTAAATCTAAGTGCTACATAAAAGCAGTGGTAAATCTCAGCAAGATGTAGGGAACTCCTTCCATTAAGTAAAGCCTTTTTGCCACCCGATCTCCTTTGAATTATGCCACAGGCTAGCACAATTCGAAGAGCAGCCCGAGGTCTTCACCTGGAAGGGGTCTCTTTAGTCTACGTACCTGGCAGGAGCGGCTCAGTGGGCTTCCAGAGAGCGGCATCTATTATTGATCTTAATCCCGATTTAGGAGACGATTCTCTCTCCTTGCTCCTACTGCTCCGGAAAAAAAAAACCTCTCTCCTGCAAAATGGAACCAATAGGAGTTTAAGCTTTTAATTGTTTTTGCCTGATAATTAAGTCTTCCTCCCTGGTACAAGCCAGGCTGCTTGCATCAGCAGGGCAAAGCGGGTAGCCACGGGGCGAGGCACTGACAGGCCTCAGCAAGGCAGCTGCAGGCACCGAGCAGCAAGTAAAAAATTACCAGCCAGGGATAAAGCCAAAGTGCTGCCACTCCACGGAGCCACTTTTCTAGAGAAGAGACAAGCAGCCACTTCACCTGCTAAGAGAGCTGCAGCCCAGCCAAAACCCTCTAGCCAAATTAGTGCCTCCTACCTGCTGCTACACGGCTTGATGTGTGACAGCGGAGGCTGAGAGTTATGCACGTGCTGAGAAGCCAGTTCAGCGCATGGCTTATAATGCCTCCAGCTTCACCGCGGTCCACCCAAATCCCCGCTGCGCTAGAAAGCGCGGTGGCCTGGAGGGAGCGTCAGGGCTGTACCGGCAGCGCCCACGGCGAGGTGCTGCAGCAGAGCACGTGCTAGCCCGGTATAACCGGCAAGCCATGCTTTGAGTCTCCCAGTCACACAGGAAATGCGGCTTTCCTGGCGATTAGCTCGGGTTTAAAAGGGCAAGTGTTTGAGACGAGTCTGGTGGCACTCATCGGCTACGTGCCGGGAGTGCTCGGTCAGCTGCGAGTTATGAAGGTGCCGACAGGGTGAGACCTGTACCTGGCTTGTTCTCCTGGCAGACCCAAGCGCCAGCCTGCGGCAGCTGATGAGATGCATCTGAGCAAGGGCAGGTTTTGTTTCCAGGTCCTGCAGGGCACTGCCTGCATGTAGGATATTGCAGAGATGCTCTCGCACTTTCCTGTAACTCGCCCTGCTCAAAGGAAGGGTGAATCTGTCCACATCAGTGCTCTCCTCCTGAGGTGCAAGGGCCCTTCCCGGGGTGTGCACGGGAAGGAAACATCAGAGTCTGTGTTTCAGGAGGGTGTAGACAGGCCCCGGAGAGACTCGGGCTCCTGCCCATGCCTAGAGCCACTGGCAACAAGCCGGGTTTTACAAAGACAGGGCTTTGTCTACATCCCTCATCATACCGCTGGGATGTTCACTGTGTGCAAAGCGCATCCTGAGACCGCGTCTTACTTGTACCTCCCCTTCCTCTCTCCCGAGCCCTTTCCAGTCCCCTCTCGGCTGATGGTAACCTTCATTCCCCCTCCCAGAAGGGAGACCTCCAATTAACTCCGGCTCCTTCGGCCCACTCTGCAGCGGAAACCCGACACGCTGCCAAAGCCTGCGCCGCCAGCTCCTCTTGCGCCTGAGCCAGTGAGAAGCAGACACCTTCCCTATGGAGAGCTGGTCTAAAGGAAGCCTGTGCCTGCGAGGCTGGGGACAGACATTACACATAAAGCAGTTTAAGTGCTCAGAAACCAGTTTAAACCTGTAGCAGAACAGATGTTCAGTGCACATGAACCAGTTTGAAAATGGCTGAAACCGGTTTGAGATCAACCTGGCTGAACGTAGTATCAGACTCAACCGATTTGGCTCAAACCGGTTTATGCAATGTCTGTCCCAGACCCCT